CATTTTAAAACACACAGCCAGATGGATAGACACACAGAGCTGACATTTGTTACATAAAAAGCACGACAGCGAGTCCCCGGTCCATCCCGGACCAGCCTCGTCCGCCGCGGGAACACATCAAGCTCAGGGCTGCCCCACAGCCCCCCCGGGACACCAGACCCTGCACCGGGGCGCCCAGGGGCTCCTGCTGGCTGGTAGAGGACCCCAGGGTCTGCAGCCACCACGCTTCTGCCACCAAGGCCCGGGCATTGTGGGGGAGGGGGTGAACTGCCATCAGCCCGGGCCTCACAGAGAGCTGCCCCACCCCCGGCCAGCCCCGCTCCCCAGGGTCGGGAGGGAAGGGAGAGGCACCTAGTGTAAGTCAGGTCCACGCACCACTGGACGAGGACTCAGTGATGGGGCCGGACTGATGCTACGCGCTCAGCACCGCACGCTCCAATGCCCCCAGCTCTGGGCACACACACCTTCAAGTCACCGAGTCGTCCTCGGCTGGTGACTCGACCGACCACCCAGGAAGTCTGGAAAAATCAACTCAAGAGTCACGAGGAGCCTCCGCAGAAAACCACACTCAGGACAGACATCTTTGAAAGTGAAGTTTTCCTTCGTACCAGCACTGACCAATGTGGACCCTGACGGGTGCAAAGATCTCGCTCACAATTCAGCAAAAACAGGCAATGAACGTGCCCGGTCTAAGCATGAGCAGGGCCCGCGGGGGGAAAAGCCCTTCTCGCTCTGTCCTGTGTGAGTCCAAAATGACCAAAAGTCACAACGCAAAAAGTGAAACCACAGAAGCACTAGAAGAAAGTGCGGGTTTTTAAAACTGAATGAGCATCACGTAGTGGTGTAACTGAACACAAAGGCAGAAAACCACCAGGAAGGAGGGCCTTGATGAATCCGACCGCAAAAAATCAGCACATGCACATGGAAAAAAAACTAGCAGCACAGAAAGATGAATGACCGCCCCAGGGCCCTTCTATCCTGGGAACCGTGAAAAGACAGGGCGGCAAACAGCCCAACCAACAGGAGGCTCGGCGCAGGGGTGCATGCGTGCATGATAAGTCACTTCAGTCGTGTCCATGGCGACCCCATGGACTGCTGCCCGCCAGGCTCCTCTGTGCATGGGATTCTCCAGGCAAGAACACTGGAGTAGGCTGCTTCCCAACCCAGGGATTGAACAAGCATCTCTCTTCAGGGTAGGGGTAGGAGCTGGCAATTCAGGAAAGCAGAACACAAACGTGGAAAGAAAAAGATGATCAACCTCAGCAGCAAGCAAAGCAAAGCAACCTTTCTGGTGGTCAAATAGTAAAGCCGTCACCAACACCCAGAGGCAGTGAGGATTGGACGAGAGGACCTCCATGGGCTCCGAGGGCAGGGCCTCCCTCCTTCTCTCTCCTCCACCCGCCCGTGTTCACTATATTCATGTTTCCTTGTCCAACACCAGTCTCCCCACCTCCTCCTTTCTCCAGGCACCCCGCACCTGCGGCAGCCACACCCACTGGGTCACCACCGTGTAACAAGCACCCGGGACAGCGGCGTGTCCCAGGACTGCTCGTCCCCAGGAGCTGGCGGATGCACCAAGCTGCCCTGTGTGTGCACTCCTGACTCAGCAATGTCATCCCCAGGGACACACCCTAAGGAAACAATGTCAAGTGCACAACGATGAACACACAAGAACGCCCACTGCTGAGTTGTTTATACACTGATGCCTGAGTTCCAGCGTCCCCCAGCCTTCCCCCCCCAACAAATACAACCTGGATTTCGGGGCAGGGAGACACCCACAGTTCTTAAGAGCATCCTTTGAGTCTAATTCACAGGACTGAGAACAGCCCTTGGAAATTTAGCCAACAAGAGATCCTTTAGATCGACGAGATATCATGACACCTCGCTAAGTAAAAACAGCAGGTTTAGACAAAACCATAAATGGAGCATGATCCCACTTCTGCACTGAAGCCATAAAGAGTGTCTCCACACGACACTCACAAGGATGTGAGTGCATCCGAGAGAGGGGCTGGGGCAGGCATACACTCAAGAGGCCTTTCTGAGCTGAAATTACCAAAGCCTCGGTTTTCCTGTTTAGGATAATTTTAGGAAAGTCTAAATTTTTCACAAATTTATACACTTTAATTGCTCTATAAGTTAAAAAAGGTTTTATAAGTTTCATAGAAGGTTATCAGACTCCGGGAGCCCCAGGTCCCGCCTTACCGCCCGCCCCACCCCTCACGCCGAGGACGGGCACTCTGCCGCCCTGGGAAGCTTTAGTTCCAGGACGCTCGGTGAAGGCAAAACTCCCTGATGCCGGTTGTTTCCCACCTGCAACCTAATCCCACATGAGACTTTAGAACAGCCAGACTGCTGAGAAGGGCAGGGGCCGCCCCGCCCCCAGTTACTGGTCACCCAGCTGCTTGGGGAAGGTGCTGGAAGACGTCCAGACAAGAGGGATGAGGGTGTCTGACCAGCACACTGCAGGCTGGGCAGAGCAGCAGACTGCAGGCCCCGCAAGGTCCACCCCTGAATCAAGTGCTCCCGAAGCCAGGAGGGCAGGATGAGAGGAGATGTGGGGCTGCGGGCAGACAGAAAGGGGCCCGGTGCAAGGAGGAGGCCCAGAGGACTCTGAACACGGCCCGGCACAGGCTGATCAGGGGCTCAGACACCTCAGGGTTAACGGGGACACGGGGCCTCAGGGGCTGATGTGTCACAACTCTGCTTTCCAGTTGGCATCTACCTGGCATACCGTTAAACTGCACTCTTATTTTTCTTTTTCTCTGCATACCAAATTTGATATATTAATTGGGTGTTTTAATCTAAAAAATTCATCAGAAGGTCTCATATCACCATGGCAACCGGGCAGTCCCAGTAAACGCAAGCCCTCAGCACAGCACCGTCGCCTCTTTCGGCTCACCCAGCACAGGGCCGAGGAAGTGCGGGACCTTGTCTGGGGAGGACAGCTGCACGCCCTGAGAGAAAGGTGGGGTGCAGCCTTGCCCTCCTGGAAGACCGGCCCTCCTTTCCAAAGCCCGCTCTTTCCATGTAAATAAACCCACAGCCTTCAGGCCAAGAGCTGCACACACTTTCTTTGCAAACACGTACTATGATCCCCGAGCCGGGTGCACCCTGACGATGACACAGAAACAGAATAAAACTGGAACCAAGTGGCCGACAACCAGGATCGCATCCACGGTGATCAGACCCAGGGTCAGTCTCGGCCCTCTCATCTCACCGAGCAAAGCCCAACTAAGTCTCATCCTGAGGGGTTCAGGTTGGAGAGCTGGCCGCCGCGCCCAGGGATGAGCGCTGACTGACAGGCACGTGTGCTGAAGAGCGCGTACCTGTTGCTGAAGCCGGCTCCCACCTGCACCAGCCCAGAATAGCCAGCACCTCTGCTGTCCTGCTTCAGGCGAACGGGGATGGCGGAGGGGGTGAAACGTGTGAAGTAATTCTCAAATCAGACTCAAGAATCATAGATGGATTCTGTGCTCTTTTTGCCTCTTTAATGTTCCTTGGATTCTGAAACCTAATACTCTGAACAGGTAGTAAAATTCGATCATTCAAAGCTGAAGGCAGCCACTAGGCTACATCAATGCCTCTCTGCCTACGTTTTCCACCTTGGAGAGCAAAATGCAAAGACATACGAGAGCGGCCAGCTCTAGGCTGACACTGGCGAGTCCTGAAATCAGATGTATTTCTCAGATGTTTTCTGATCCTGCCCCTGCAGCCAGAGCTAGGTGTAATCTGCTTCCTTATTCCTTCCTAATTCACTCTGGGCTTTCTGCACTCAGAATATTTACACTCAAAAACATGTAATATATGAAACATCCCCAGCGGTAAGTTGTGCCCTGAAGTTCAGAACACAAAGACAGGTCTCCCCAGAACACACTGCGCAGGCGTGGTCGGCCCTGAAGGCCTCGCCCCTTGACCGTGTCCAGACACCCATGCCCCCTCCCCGCTGACCGAGACCGGGCTCACTGGAACCCAGCTTCCTCCAGACCTCCCCCACCCCGCCGGGCTGCAGGCTCCCCTTCCCTCTGTGAGGACCGCCGCCAGGCTACAACACTGGCCTTAGGTCACAGTATCGTAATTTCCTATAATGCTTAAATTATTTATCAGAAATAAATAGCTTGGGTTCCTTGGCTAAGCTGTGCTCTAAAATTATAAAAGATCCATCCTACCCGCTGCAGGCTGCCTACAAATGAAAAATGCATGCTTCTACTATTTTAAGAAAATGTCAAAAAAAATCAAATGTGTCATCTTATAGCATTTAACTTATCTGCATGACATCTGAGAGAAGAGCTGCATGCTTGCCTGTGGAAGTGTCACGGTGCTCCGGGGCGGGCACTGCCACCTCCCCAGGAGGTGCTAAGGGAAAGGCCCTGTGCCCAGCAGGGCTCAGGGAGGCGTGCCCGCAGGCCTGCATCGGTCTCCTGCTTCCCACCGGCACCCACCTCCAGGTCACTAGCCTTACCTGCAGGGGGACCTGAGGGCAAACTAGTTCCCAAAGGGAGGCTTTCTGCACAAAGGCATGCCTCCACCGCACATCTGAGTGCAAAGGTGGGCACGCCCGAAGCCACGCGGCGCGGTCGCCGGCACTGAGAACCCCGAGGGCCGGGCCCCCGCGCCACCTGTGGTCGGGCGTCTCCCCTGGCGAACTCGGCACCCCTCAGGTGCAGAGGGGCAACCGAGCGCGCGCACCGCACAGTAAAGGAAACCGCAGACACAGCGCCCTGGCTGCAGTGGGGGCCAACGACCCTCACTCCCCACAGCTGGAGGGCCTGCTCCGCCCGCCGCGCCGCGGCTGGACACGGGGGACGCGTGGACACCGCAGGCACCGTACGCGAGTTTCCTCGGAAACTGAGACGCCCCGGGACGCCGTCCCGCGCCGGGAACCTTGGTGCCCCGACGCACGGAAACCCTCCCGCCGCAGCCCCCCTGCGAGAGCGCGCGGGCTCCCCAGCGGCGCGGGCCCCAGTGCGCTCCCCAGGTCCCCGCCGCGCGGCCCTTCTCACCGTCCTCCTTGTCGTCAAACACCGGCCTCCGCGCTGCGGCCGCCGACATGGAGGACCCCATCCTCTTCTTCCACTTGCTCCACTGAAACAGGGGGCGCGGCTGCGCGCGGGCATCGCTGGAGTCCCGGGCTCGGGGCTGGCCGGCGGCGGGCGGCGGCGGGGCCGGGGGCGCGTCGGGGCCGGCAGGGCGCGCGCGGCCGAGGGGCGGCGAGCCGGGGGGCGCCGCGGCGCTGCTGCCCCTGCGCTCGGGGCCGCTCCTCATGGCCGGGCCGGAGTGCGCACCGCGGCCGGAGTCCGGGGCATGGCCCGCCCACCGGGCGGGGAGCGGGAGCGGGAACGACAGGCAGCGCCCGCCTCGCGCCCGGAGCTCGGCGCTCCCGGGTTCCCGCAGCCCGGTCAGCTCCGCCGACTGCGAGGGCCGGGGGCCGGGCCTGGGCGGGGCCGGGGCGGGGCCGGCAGGCAGGAGCCGGGGCGGAGCCAGTTAGGGGCGGAGACATCTCGAGGGCGGGGCCGGAAGGCAGGAACCGGGGCGGGGCGAAGGCCAGGGGCGGGGCCGGCCGGCAGGAGCCGGGGCGGAGCTAGCGCGGGGGGCGGGCAGGGGCGGGGCCGGCAGGCAGGAGCCGGGGCGGAGCTAGCGCGGGAGCGGAGCTAACTCGGGGCGGGGCGGGGGCGGGGGCGGGGCGGGGGCGGGGCCTGCCGGGTCCGGGGCGGGGCAATGGCCGGGGCGGGGCCGGAGGACAGCCCTCCGGCGGCCCTGGGTACCCGCCGCCCACCACTCAGGGGCGGGTGCCGCACACAGCGCCGCGGCGGCACAGACAGAAGACAAGAAAGGGGTCCCTCTGGCCTTGGTGGATAAAGGCGGCCCGCGAGCTGCTGCCGCCCGTCCCGGGGGCCTTAAGCCTCATCCTGCGGTTCTGAGTTTCGCGAGGCCGCGCGCGGAACCCGCGAAGGGGCAGCGGGAAATGGCTGTGCGGAGGCCAAGGCCAGATCGCCGCCTTGCGGCCCCGCGTCCGGCACCGATTCAGCGCTGCGGCTGCACCAGGGCCGCAGGGAAAGAGGGGCGCGGCGGGAGCGGGCCCGTGGTGGGAGAGGGCCCTGGGCGGGAGCCCCTCCCCGCGCGGCCGGCCCAGACCCCGCGGCGAGCTCGCGCGCACACGCACGCACGGGCGCGCTCGGGGTCGCGGCGACGCTGAGCACCCGCGCCCGCGCCCTCGGGTCCCCTAGTTAGGTCGCTGTGGTTGGGTCTCCGGTCCGGCTCTCAGTGCGGCCGGCCGGGCACGGGATGGGACGAGAAGCTCCCGGAGCATGTCCGCGCCTCGGGCCGGCCCTGGAGCCGTGTGCGGCGTGTTGCGCGAGGAGTGGGGGTGTCGAGGCTCGGTTTGACCTCCTTGCCGCTTCCCCCGCCCCCCTATCGCAGGGCCAGGAGAGACCTCGCCGGTAAAGCACAGCGGACGGCCCACGAGATGGCTCCCGGTACCACCCAGCCTGCGTGCCTGACACTTGGTCACTGAAGGCTTGCTTTTGTTGAGTTCTCTGACTTTGACTTTTGGAAGCCTTCACCTCCTTAGGTTCCTCCCCCAGGAAGTCCCGAAAGGGACTCTGCTGCACCTGGATGAGGGTGGACCACCTACCCGACCTGCAAGCCGGGACACGGGGACCTGCGAATCTCTCCCCCCCCCCCGGAGGCCCCCGTTCCTCCGTGGACACCCTTCAGCCATCCTGGCCCTGTCCGCCCCTGGAGCAGCCCCGCTCCCGCCGGTTGTGTCCCTCAGTCTTGGCTGTTCCTCCCTCCGCGGTAGTACTAGGCTTGTCCCCCATCCCACCTTTGAAATTCAGTGGAGCCCCTTTACCAGTGTGGGCTGCTTGAACAACGCAAGGTGAGCAGAGGTGATCTGGGTCATTTCTGAGCCACACTTTAGGGCCAGTGTCCAGACTGGCCACACACGCCCCCTTGGCTCAGAAGGAGTCGGGATCACTGGGGGACTACCTTCCAACCAGCAATGGAAGAGCAGAACAAGGGAGAACTCGGCCCCTGTGGGAAGCCACTGAGGTTTGGGGTGCACTTGCCACAGCATAACGTGGCTGTGCGTCCTACCTTGAGTCCAACCCCAGGGAGGCGAGTTCCCTGGGCTCCGGGCTGAGCCTGCTTCCGTGGAGCTGCCCCAGCTCTTTGAACACAACCCCTCTGGCAAGCCCTGTCTCCCACTGGGCCTGTTGAAGGCTCCCAGCTAAGACAAAGGGCTCTGTAGACAGCCTCCCCAGGCAGCAGTGAGTGCAGGAATGTTTCTGAAAGGGGGGTGCTCCGAGGCAGGGAGCCATTCCAGGCAGGCTGAGAGCACGAGGTGCAGAGTGGGCGGGAGACAGAGGAAAGCGGGGTGCGAGCTGCTTACTGGAGAGGAGACCAGGCTACCGCACCCCCGGGGGGCCCTGTGGTGCTCTCGGGGCCTGGGAGGGACTTACCTGCAAACGGAGAGGGGGCAGGGAGGTCAGCAGAGCATCCGTGTGCCCAGGGATGCCCATTCGGAACAGGCACGTGGGCGGGATGAGGACAGGGCCGTCCCCCTGCTCTGCCAATGACAGGACACTACGGGTGCCGCAGTCACCAGAGAAACGCGTCCCAGTCAGCCCGCCCCTGGAGCACCCGCCCCGGATCCTGGGCAGCGCGTGGTCACGGCACCACCACAGCTGGGCTGGTCTGCAGGGGTCCCAGCTGGTGACCTGGTGAAGGCCTGGGGCCCAGGAGCTGTGAGGACACCGTCCCTGAGATTGAGACGAGCTAGTGTGCGAGGACAGAAAGTGGTCAGCGTCTCTGGGGGATGGCGGGGGCCCGCTTAGACAGGGCCTGTGCAGAGCGGCGGGAGTCTGATTCATACTCACGGCTCAGCTCCTGAAACCCCAGCATAAATGTGCGTCAGCCTGTAATTCATCCAGAAAGCTGTGCTTCCCAAGAGGATGCGGTTGTTAGCAGTCTGCAGTTCTCACCTGTACCTTGTCTTATAGCCTCATTCTGAAATTAACATGCTGCCTGCACCTTTGTAAATGGTCCCTGTTATTAATCTCCCCTCAGACTGCTCAATTTGAATGCACTGGTTCCTGCTGGGAAACATACCAGAACGGACCCTGGAAAACAGGAAACAAGCTCAAATAGGAGTCCAGTCAGAGCTGCCCACATATGTGGGGGAACCCATGAGTCCCCTTTCTAGCAGGAAGTGGAAAACCAGGTCATCCCTGACCACAGGGCCATCAGACTGAGCCCTGGCGGGACACGGGACAAAGGCCACGTGGGAGCAAGGATGTGGGGACCAGGTGCTGGGTGGCTGGGTTGCCTGGTGACAGTACTGACTCTTGAGGTCATGTGGCTCCAGAAAGCAGGAACCAGGAGAGGAACACACACCGCGGAGAACAGGAGCCCCACGGCCGCTGGAGGAACCCTTCCCCGCTGTTGTCATGGTGCCAGGCAACAGCACAGTCAGCGCTCAGCCTGGTCAGACACCCAGTGCACCACTTTCCCCCCCAGGGCTGCCGTGACAAAGGACTACAGACTCGTAGGCAAAACAACACAAAGGCGTTTTCTCCCCGTTCTGGAGCCCAGAAGTCAGAAATCAAGATGTCAGCAGGTGGTCCCCTCTGGAGGTCCTGAGACATCTCTCCCAGCTCCTGGAGGCTCCTGGTATCTCACGGTCTGCAGAGGCATCGCTCCAAGCTCTACCTCCATCATCACGCCACCTTTTCATCTGTGTCTTCTCCCCTTTTCTTCCCTTACAAGGACATCTGTGGGACTTCCCTGGTGGTCCAGTGCCTAAGTCTCTGCAATCCCAATGCAGAGGGTCCAGGTTCAATCCCTGGTCAGGAAACTAGGTCCCACATGCCGAAACTAAGAGACCCAGCACAGCCAAATAAATAAAATTTTTTTGTTAAAAAAAAGGACATTTTTTATAGGATTTAGGACTCACCTTAATGTGGGATGATTGTGTGGCATTAGTGGTAAAGAATCCACCTGCCAATGCAAGAGACACTGATTCGATCCCTGGGTTGGGAAGATCCCCTGGAGAAGGAAATGGCAACCCAGTCCAGTATTCTTGCCTGGGAAACCCCAGGGACAGAGGAGCCTGGCGGGCCACTGTCCATGGGGTCACAAAGTCGGACACACTAAGCATATGAACACATTAATGTAGGATGATACCATCTTTAACTTAATTACCCTCTTTACAAATAAGGTCATATTCGCACGTTTCAGGTGGACATATCTTTTGGGGGATGGCCACCACTAAACCCACTACAGTCCACTGCCTGGTCCCCAAATGTAAGCCCACCCCACTTGCAAAATACATTCACCACATCCCAGCATCCACAAAGTCTCACCATTAGAGCTTCGACTCTGAGTCCAAAATTCTCATCTAAATGTCATCAGCTCAGAAGTGCAAGACCCATTGGGTAACTCGGGTCTGAGTGAGATTCCAGGTTTGACCCAGCCTGACACAAAGTTCTCCATTGGTGGACCTGTGTCTCTAGAAACAAGTTATCTGCTTCCAAAATGCTATGGTGGGACAAGCATAGGACAGACGTTTCCATTCCTAAAGGGAGACACTGGAAGAAATCAAGAGCTCTCTGTTCCAAGTAAGTCCAGAGTTCAGCAGGGAAGAGTCCACCCAGTTTCAGGGTCTGAGAGGTTCTCTGCGGCCTGATGCTCTGCCCTCAGCAACCCCCTCAGAGCCACGCTTCCCTCCCCTTGAACAGGAATATGTACTTGCAGCTGACTTGTCGAAGGTGAGGACCACGTGGGGAGGAAAGATTCTGGGGGAGAACCCTTATTCTGAGACAGTTCTATACAATTTCTCTTGAAATCTTTAGAAGAAAGGGCCAAGCCAATTTTCTGAACCATCTAGGTTTCTGTACTTGTCCCCCATCCTCTTCAAAGTGGATCTTCCCATCTCTGACTCCTTTTGGAGCTCCTATCCTAAGGCAAGCCTTGCAGCCCAAAGCCAGTCCTTTTCAGGCCCCTGGAAAGTATCGTCTGTGGGGGAGGCCACCGGCCCTGGACGGGGCGCACCCGCGGGGGCGCACACAAGAGGTTTATCACCAGCAGCTGGGTGTTTGCTTCCAAGTTCCGGGCTGGGGTAGGTCTCTGCAGGCAGCCGGCAGCACGTGCTTCAGAGGGCCTTGGCCACCCCTCAGCCGGGCACCCAGCACTGGGGGGAGGGCCGGGGCCTGGAGTAGAAAGCGGCTCACTGCAGGTGCTGGGCAGGTCCAGCAGACGGGGCGCCTGCCAGGCGCGGAGATGAGACCGCGGTGACACTGCAGGGCCTGCTAGGCCAGCACGGAGCACTCACGGGTGTCAGACCCAGGCCGGGGGCCAGCGAGTATCACAGTTACGGCTGAGTTCTCATCAGATTGTGAGCCTGCTGGGTCTGTGGCCCTGGAAAGGCCCCCGGGGAAAAATCACCTGTGTTCTAGTGTCGTGTTGTGGGGGGGTCCCCACCTTCCTGTGTCCCCTTAGACCTGCCTGGAGGGGGCAGGTGGCCGGAGGGCGGAGGGCAGAGCCGGCGTGAGTCCAGGCCCTCCGCCCACCCGTGCCCAGCCTGCAGACGCCTCTCTGCTCTCGACACTGGGGTGACGACACCGCCTCCTCGCAGCACCAGATGTACCCTTGCCCGTTTCTGGCCCCTTGGGCAGCACCCTTGCGTCTCACCGTGATCCGGACTCACAGCTGCCCTCCAAAGCCTCTCGTGGCCACCCCGCTCCACAGGTGAAGGAGAGAGGGCCTGGGAGGCAGGTAAGTGCCCGAGGTTCAGCCAGAGCATGGGAAAGATCCTGCCGACCTCCAAGAACGACCCCCAGGCCCAGGCAATGGCAGGAAGGGGTGTCAGGACAGCCCCCCCAGCACAAGTAGACAGGCTGCAGATGCTCAGCTCTGCCCCCACCCCTTCCCTCCTGGAACAGGATGCAGACAGTGGCACCCACAACACACAAACGGGTAAGAGGGAGACAGCACCCAGGGGCCGCCCACTTCACCAGCACCCCCACCCTGGGTGGGGATCCCCGCCCTCAGACCGCCACTGCATGCATTCCTGGGGCCGCTGTAGCAAAGACTGAAGAGCAGGCACTTAAGTGACAGGGATTTATTTTCTCACGGTCTGAGGCTGGAAGTCCCACATCAAGGAGTGAGCAGAGCCGGTTCCTTCCTGGCTTGCAGACTTCTCCCCACGTCCTCACGGGCCGTCCCTCTGCGTGACTGTGTCCTGATCTCCTCTTCCTGTAAGGACAGTCACACTGGAGAAGGACCATTCCGTGACCGTGTTTAACACCAATCTCCTCTTTAAACACCCTGTCTCCACGTAAGGCACGTCTGAGGATCAGGACTCCGATCAGGGGACACAACCCAACCCTCAACACCAGTCACGTGCACCCTATCTCCTGCTCCCCCAGCTCAGATCACGGGCCAACCGACTCTTGGTTTCTGCCGTTTTAGAATCCTACTATTCACAACTTATTTAGTTTTGCTTGTATAAACAAGTTTCATACTCTATGGTCTCCTGGAATTTGATTTTTTTTTTTTTCCACCAAAAGCTGTTTCTAAGACCCATTCTCATTGCGTGCAGCTAGTGCTGGTTCATTTCATGGCTTTCTCCTGTCTCGGCCTTTGGGGTCCTTTCCAGATTTTGCTAAAGTGGGGGAGGCTGCTGTGAACATCTCCACCCACCTGTCCCGATGCACCTCTGTTTGTGAGACTCCGGAGGGGAACGTGGGGTCCCTGTACGTGGGAGTCCAGTCGACACAGGAGAGCCGGTGCCTTCCCACACGCCCCAACGGCTGACAGACACCGTGATGGCAGAATGGGCCAGAGGCACAAACACGGGGGCTTCCCGACCTCTTTATTTTTGCCAGCTGAGCGAGGGTGAAGTGGTGTCTCATTTGGATGAAACTGTATTTCCCTGCTTGCTGGTGAAGTGGAGCATCTTTGTATAACTTAAAAAAGAAATTTTTTGACAAGTACACACTGCTATATTCGTTTATTTGTTTTACGTAGTTTTGGCTGCTCTGGGTCTTCGCTGCTGCACGAGGGTGTCCTCCGACGCAGAGTGGGGGCTCCTCTCTGGTTGCGGAGCACGAGCTGCTCACTGCAGCAGCTCCTCCTGTCGCAGAGCACAGGCTCCGGGTGCTCAGCTCACTGGTGGCGGCTTGCAGGCTCTAGGGCTCAGGGCTTGCGGTGCACGGGCTCAGCTGCTCTGAGGCATGTGGAATCGTCCCCCACCAGGGACGGAAACTGAGCCCCACGCATTGGCAGGCGGATTATCCACAAGGGCTTCCCTTGTGGCTCAGCTGGTCAAGAATCCGCCTGCAATGTGGGAGACCTGGGTTCGATCCCTGGATTGGGAAGATCCCCTGGAGAAGGGAAAGACTACCCACTCCAGTATTCTGGCCTGGAGAATTCCATGGACTATATAGGCCATGGGGTCGCAAAGAGTCGGACATAACTGAACGACTTGCACTTTGCACACTTATCCACTGTACCATCAAGGAAGTCCTCTTTTATATCTTTATTGGCTGGTTTTTCTTCCTCTACTGGGAATTGTTGGTTTGTATATTTTGCCTGTTGATCTAAATGTAACTATTATCTTAATATTTTTTAAATGGAAATATAGTTCTTTTTGTATTCTGCATATATATTAGATTATATATTGTGGAACTAATTTTTATTTGATATAAGAATTGGCAATATCTTCTCTTGTTTGGGGCTCAATTTTGAATTTTCTTCACGGTGTCTTTTAGACAAACAAGAGTACTTTTAATGTAGTGAATTTATCAACATTTGTTTTTATGGTTACTGCTTTTAAGAAATCCTCTTTAAGAAATCGTTTCTGAGCCTAAGAGCAAAATTCACCCATACTTTCTTCTAAGAATGTACAGAATAAACTCTAGTACTGACGTACAGCACGCATGTGGAAAATTTCCCTCCCTCCGGTGTTCGTGGAAGGGTTGGTCTGAATGACCTCACTTGGTTCGACCACAGCAGAAACCCAAAGACATCTTTTGTTAAAACCCGTGTGAAACTCTTCACAGTTCTAGTACCGACGCTTTCGGTCGCCTGCTCAGCGGCCAGTCAGCCCTTTCCTCGTCTGACAGGTGCTGAGCTGGCTCCGTGATGTGTCAGCGAGGCTGGGCTGAACTACTTCTCCAGAATCCCCTTTCCGGCAGGTTTCCTAACTTGGCTCTTGGCATGAGATGTGGGAGGCAGCAGGCGAGCGTGAGTCGGACACGACTCAGCGGCTGACAACAACCAGGAGCATGAGGCGCCGGCTGGACTGTTCCGACACTTGGAGCTCAGGGCAGGGGCCCAGGTGTGGCTGCAGCTCCCACACGAGGCACCTTCTCTGCTGGCTCCCCTCCCGGGCAGGAGGCAGGTGCGCGGCTGATTCGCCTCTCAAGCCACCCTTTTGCTTCTCCAGCTCCCGGGCCGGAAGTGTGTACAGTTTCCCGACACGGTGCCAACTTCTGCAGGACACCCACGTGAGGCGTCCGTCCTCTTGGCTTCCAGCTTGGGCTCGCTGGTCCCCCCTCCAGCTCCACCTTCCCTTCCTGACTACCTGCTCCACACACTTGAGGCTTCAGCGTCAGGCAGGGGGGCGGCAGCTTCCAGAGACCCTTCCAGCAGCCTGGCGACGGCAGAGGTCAGCTCGCTTAATGACGTCACCCCGTGGCCCTGCGCCGGGCGGGCACAGGTGCCAGGCGCGCAGACCTTTCTATCTGGGTGCTAGGAGCGGAGGCCCGGCCCCGAGACAAACCCTGATGGGCTTCATTTCCCTCCTGGTGACGGGTCTACGTGTCCGAAGCCAGTTCCAGGGCGGGGAGGACGGTGGGGGCGGCTCCCTTGCCCTCCTGGGCGCTGAGTGTCGGCCTGACTGCAGCCAGGACCGCCATCCTGTGACCCCAGGAGGAAGGACGTCTGCCTGCTGCAGGCGGGGAGGTAAAGAGCAGGGAGGGCGTCCATGCTCTGGACGCCGGGGCTCCACCTGGAAAGCCAGCCTTCCCGTGCGTGCGATCGGCGGCTCCCTGCGGCCCCTCCCTCCTGCAGCAGGACGCTCTGGGCCTCAGCGCCCTTGTCCCCTTTCTCGGGAACGCGCCACCTCCGTCCGTGTCACCTACCGCTCAGCCGAGAAGGGCGGGGACGGCGGGCGCGGCGGAGACCTTACGTCCAGACCCGCGTGCGCGCAGGCGCAGCACGGTCCCCACGCGCCCTCCGCGCGGTTTGGTGCCTGCGGGCCGCCGTACGGTCGGGCGTCTCCATGGCGACCGCGTGAGCCCCACCGCCTCCGGAAGGCCGCGTCGCCATGGCGACCGCGTGCGCCTGCGGCCTGTATTGTTCCGCTGGGCCCTCCGCTCCCGGGGCGGGCGGGTGAGGACGGGCTGTGGGCTGGTACGGGGACCCATTGGGAGAGGCTGGGGGCGCCGGGTGATGGGAGGTGGGGCGCACTGGAGACTCTGGGACACCGCGCGCTTGCGGGCCCGGAGCGCCGCCTCCCTGCCCCCGCGCGGCCCGCCCCGCCCGGGCGAGGACCCATCGGGAGATGCTAGGGGCGCCGGCTGATGGGAGGTGGGGCCCGGAGCGCGGCTCGCGCGGTGGGGACGCGGGCTCCCAAGGCCCTGCGCGGCCCGCCCCGCCCCCTCGCGGTCCTGAGACTTTCTCCTTGGTCTAGAGGTTTGGGGAGGTTGCAGCCTGCACTACCCCGAGTCATAGAAAAGGACCCACGGGGAGGCCTAGGGGGCGCGGGCCTCTCACTCCCCGACTCTGAAATGGAGGGACAGACACACAGCAGACTCCTGAGCTGGCAGCACCCTCGCTGAGCGAAACGCTGATGGGAAGGACCCAGACCTGCAAATAAGAAAGGGCGAGCTCAGGGCGCCCTCCGCACTCAGGGGAGGGAGATGCCAGCGTGTGGATTTGGAACCGTTCTGATTCGGTTTCGTCCGTCGAGAAGGCATTCCTCCTTTGCATTTTCCAGGAATTAAAAGTTAAGTCTGGAACTCCGAGGTGCAGAGGGAGGGGCGGAGCAGTTTAACCTGAGCATTCTTGCAGCCCGCTTCGTTTTACCAAAGTCCGGTTTATAATGCTGTTTATTAGACGCGCAGGTTTTTGTAAGCCAGCACAGTCATTGCAGGCCTGCCGAGCCGCCGGAAGGCGTGACTGTGCCGGGTAACCATTGTTGATGTGTCTCCCCTCCCGCCCCGTGTCTCCAGGTGACTCCACACCCAGGAGGATGCGCCGTGGTCCCCAGAGGAGTGCTTCCTCCCGGCCGACTGATGGAGGGGAGCGGATCCCTCTCGGTTCCCTGCGGGGCTGGTGACCAGGAGAGCAGCGCTGGCCAGGCTGGGAGCAAGCCCACCTCCGCCTCCAGAGATGTTCACGTGGGGGTCATCTTCTCCTCCTCAGCGATTTTAGACTTGAGTCAAAGTGGTCTTCACCATTTTGAGGAGATCTTTAAAGTCCCCAACCTCAGAGTAAGTGGGGCAGCCTCTGGGCTTGGTGCACACAGGCCGTGTAGATGTGAATGAAGGCTTTGCTCACTTGCAGGTTTCTTTTTAGAGAGAAATTCTAGAATGAGATGGATTGGAAGAGGGTTAGCTTGGGATTTCATGTGTCGCTCACTGCAAAATGAAAAATTCCGGCAGGGGCCAGCCAGATGCTAATGTCCTCTCTTCGGAAACATCTTAAGTGAAAAGCCCATGGTGGGTGGAAACTGTTGCTAAAAACATGCTTGGTCTCTTAATCAAAACTCAACACCCCTGAGAGACTTCCCTGGAGGTCCAGTGGTTAAGCCTTTGCCTTCCAGTGCAGGGGGTGTGGGTTTGATCCCTGGTTGGGAGCTAAGATTACACATGCCTCTCAGGCAAGAAACAAAAACAAAAAACAGAAGCAGCATTGTAACAAAAGCAATAAAGAGTTAAAAAATGGTCCATATCCAAAAAAAAAAAAAATCTAAAAATACAAAAACCACAATACCCCTTAAAAACTTCCGTCAAACCTTTCTCCCCCCACAGCGTTGCCCATGGCGAGTGCTTGACTGCTGTGGGCCGGGTGCCTTCATGGGATCCCGCCCCCGCCTACTTGAGATCCAGCAGGCCTGTCTCCTCCTGCGAGTTCTACAGCAAAGTTTCCTCTGCACAGCTTGACGGAGACTGTCCAGGGCCAGCAGTTCTCTCACTGCCCAATAGTCACGCAGCTTCCTTGAACCTCACCTTGTCTTCATGGTGGATCAGGAGGATCAGCATATAAAGCAGTGTCCACACAGGACACACACCCACGTGTTGCACTGTTAGCCTGCTGATTGACAGTTTTCAGTGCTTTTATTAGGTTAGCCGAAAAGCTTCTTCGATTTTAAAGTAGAAATAAAAGACAGTTTTCATTTTCACCAAGAACTTTATTGAAGTACATATTCGTTGTTTTGTTCCATTACCTTCTGCCATTTCCCAGGCAACTTCGTAATTCCATCTTCCCAAAGCGGGTTATCTTTTTGAGCAAAGAACTGCCGAGTGCCTTTTACAGTCTTCCAGGGAATTGAAATTTTTCCATTAAGAGAATTTTGTAAAGACTGAAACGAATGAACATCCGGAAGTGCAGTGTCTGCTGGATACGGAGGATGAATCAGAACTTCCCAGCCAAGCTGTAACAGTGTTAGCCTAGTCAACCAAAGAATCATTCAGTCTTACATTATCCTGATGGGAGGTTTTTTTTTTTCTGTTGACTAATTCTGGACCTTTTTTGTGGCATGCTGCTTTTGGTTGGTCTCACACTGGGAGCAGTACTTGTTGGACCCAATCGTGTGGTTTTCCAGAAGGAGCTCAGAGGACTCCCTGCCAACCCCACCCCATACATCACCTCGCCTTTGCATGAAGACCAGCTTTTGGTGTGGTTGGTGGTCGTTCATTTCTCTTGCCCTATGATCTCTTCTGTTCCACACTTTTGTACAGTATCCATTTTTCCTTGCCTGGTGTTTTAAAAATGGAACATTTTTGTTATGTTTAAGTAGAGAATCACATGTGGAAATAAGGTACAGAAGGTTTTTTTCACTTAACTTACGTGGAACCCAAATATCAAAGCGATGAACATAATTAAGCTGGTGCAAATGATTTTCAGTGCTTGCTTGGAACATTTTGAGTATGCCCACTCTTTCCCGTGTGGTGTAACGTTGATTATTCTCAATGTCTCAGTTTGGTGGCTGTCAACTTCAAGTAGTCTGCTGAGCCATGGAGCATCGTCCAGTGAGAAATCCCAGCATAAAACTTCACAAACCACTTTTGGCACTTTTGATCAGTCACAGCACATACTCCATACACGGCACAAGTCTTTTTTTTGCATTTCAATCTCATTCTTACCTTTCTCGAAATAAGAAAGCTTTTGTGTGTGCATGCTCAGTCAATAAGACGCTGAAAATGTTGCTTTTTTCTTCCATCTTCAGTATTTAAATGGATGCACAAAAATTCACCAGTTTTGATAAGTTTTTTTTAAAAAAATGTATACGGATATGACAGCTGTCACACTATAACAAAATTGTTTCCAGTGAAGTTAAAGAAGAGAGCTCCTAGAACCATCATATGCAAAGAAATGAATGAACTTCTTGGCTACCCCAGTACCTGTGGCCGTGTGCGCTTAGACTTTAGGTGGCCGCTTGCTTTCCTAACCCCAGTTGTGTTCCACAGCCTGTGTGTGCTCTCGGGCCAGCACTGGTCTTGCTGTTTCCTTAGCACTGCCCTCCATGGGTGAATTACTGTGTCTTCCTATAAAACACCACTTTTAATGAAGCAAACGCTCTCAGTTCTGAACGAGGAGCCCAGCAGTGTAGAGACTCATGGTGCCTTCATGCATAAAAGAAGGAGGAAGCCTTCTTTAGCCTGAACGAAGGGGCTTCATTTGCGCCTCAGAATATAGAGGTGTCAACCTTATCGCTGTGGCAACAAGTCCCCGAGTGAGGTGACCAGCCTGAGCTGTGGCCTCAGGCGTTACGTTGCATTTTGCAGCCGTAGCAACACCCTCCAGAGCCTCCAGCCACTCCCGCAGAGACCCTCACGGTCAGGGACACGGACGCCCTCCCCAGCCTGCCCGTCCCCGCGAGGCCTCATGGGACCTGGCAGGCAGGGTGGGCTTCTGTGATGCACTCAGCCTGGCCCCAGGGGGCCAAGGCGGGGGCCGGCGTGTCTCTGCGATCTCCGCCTCTGGTGTGGACGAGGACCCGCCGCTTCAGTGCTGAGTCTGGGGGTCAGAGCGCCTAAGGCTGCCCAGGGGCTGGGCCGGCAGTGGCCCAGAGCAACGGCGTCCACAAGCCGAGCCCAGTCACCAGGCCGTCCCCGGCCGCGTCTGAGCTGACTCGGGATTGTGTTTTCGGCATATCTGCGGTTTCTCGCCGGTGTGTCTCAAGCGTCTGCCGTGCGCTTGACGGGACTTGGAAGGTGGCGTTGGCGGCAGACCTGGGAGCCAAGACCCTGGTGGTGGAAGAGCACCTGCCGTGTGCCCGGGGCTGTAACAGAGCAGCGGCGACCCGTTCCCCCAGGGCGTGCACCCCGTCACAGGCCAGGCTCGGAGCACAGAGGGGCTCAGGAACCTGCTCCAGGGCACGCGGCTCTCGGGTTTTTCCAAATCGAGGTTTGAACCCAGGGAGCCTGGTTTCGCAGCTAGTGTCCCTCAGTTCTCCACTCTGCCGCCGTGGTAAATAGAAATACCTAGATGCGTCTATGTGTGGCTCAGGGAGGTCCCCTGGAGACGGGAATGACAGCCCACTCCAGTATCCTCGCCTGGAGAATCCCGTGGGCAGAGGAGCCTGGTGGGCTGCAGTCCATGGGGTCACAGAGAGTCGGACACAACTGGGCGGCTGAGACTTTCCCGTGTGTGAAAGGTGGCTCCACGCAGCAGGTGGCGATGGCGGGAGAGAAGGTTTCTGTGTCACCCCCAACCCGGCTGCTCTGATGGCCATATCGCGCTCGTACACGCCGCGCGGCGCGCGGGGGCCGACGTGCGTGTGTCCCGGCCCCTCCCTCCTATGCCGCCCTGTGCCTCCGTGCTGACCTGAGGGTCCACCGGGTGGGGGTCAGACTCCCTGACGTGACCGTGACCGGCTGGCTCCGTGTGGCCGTTTGCAGCCCCGGTGATGCCACGGCTCACAGCTCAGCCCCGCGCCCTTTGGTTGCCCTTTTAGTGCCTCCTGACCCAGGAACAGAGACCCAGACGCGGCGCCTGCCCTCGTCCTCTGGGCAGCGGGGCTGCAGACACTGCAGTCCCCAGGAAGGGGACCGGGACGCAGACACACGGGGTGACGATGGGCGTTCTAGTTGGTGGAAAAGGTGGATGTGCTTGGCGGTGGCGTCTCGACCACCGGCCGGGAGAGAAGCCGCGTCCGGGTGGGAAGCCACTCGAGCGGCTGCGTGGGGAGGCCTGGCCTCGTCTTTCTCACTTTTTAAATTTTTTAAGAGAACTGTTTGGTCAGATCGGGTCTCACCTGTGGCCTGCAGCGTCTCTCGCTGTGGCCCATGGGCTTAGTTGCCCCCAGCAAGTGGGATCTTCACTCCCCGCCGGGGGACTGAACCTGCGTGCCCTGCATTCAGAGCAGATGCTCAGCTGCTGGGCCACCAGGGAAGCCCCCAGGCCTCGGCTTTCTGACGCTTGTGTTTCCCGTTTCAGCCATTTCAGGGGAAACATTTGGGTTTTCGTTTAACTTGCTGTGTGTGATTGCAGTCACCAGTGCAAATGTTTTGAGGGTGTATCACGTTTTAGAATTTAGCTGGCTGACGAAACGCTCTTCTTTGCCCCCTGGAAGCAGTCGCACCTCCACGGAATGCCCTGTGCGCGATCCCTGAAGACCTCTTCCAGACGCTGCCCAGCCTCTTGTGGCTGGGCCTGCGCTTCAACAGGGTCACCGCCCTGCCCTCTGGGACTGGCCGTCACGAGTGAGTAGCCTGTCTGTCCGGCCGGGTGGGAGGTCACCGTCTCTTTAAAGTGCCTCTCTTCGGCTGCCTTGCTCTCCCCCACCCCTCCCATGAGTCTCGGCTTTAGAGCAGAAGCGCGTGGTGGGGTCTGCAAAGCCATTTAGAGCCTGTGGTGGCTGCAGGTACCGAAAGCACACATGCTGTGCTTGGTTTAGTCGCTGAGTCGTGCCTGATTCTTGTGACCCATGGACTGTAGCCCACCAGGCTCCTCTGTCCATGGGATTCTCCAGGCGAGGATACTGGAGTGGGTTGCCATTCCCTTCTCCAGGGGATCTTCCTGACCCAGCGGTTGAACCCGGGTTTCCTGCATTGCAGGCGGATACTTTACCGATTGAGCTACAAGGGAAGCCCAAAAGCACATACATGATTATCGCTTAGGACACCTAGTACCTCGGAACACGCCAGCACCACAGCGCCTCTGCTGGATGGTGCCCTCGGCTTTCCCCACAAGCAGGTTACATCTCTGGCTCCCGTGTCAGAAATATTAATACTTCTGATGCATGCAGACCCACGGCTTCACTCCCGAGGGCCCATGTGTGACTACACCAGCTCTCGGTAGACAATGAGACGCTCTTCCTGTCTGGGGGAACTGGAAACCCTGGAGCACGCTCTGCGCTGTCCTGCTGAGTTCCTGCCAGCCGGATGCCAGGCGTCCCCTAGCATCCCCCTTCTGGAACCGAGGCGGAACTGCCTACCCCCGTGTGCACCTCAGAGCCACGTGCAGCGTGAGGCCACCCTTCTCTCGGGCGCCGTGGCCCCAGGCCCAGTCCTTCCGTGGCAGCCTGTCGACCTTTAGGAGACCTCGTGATTTGAATGTAAGACCCTCCTGTAGTGTCAGTGTATCCGCGGCAGGGGGTACGTCAACTGCAAGGGCGCTGAGGTGGGCCTGTCCCTGCGGACAGAGCTGAGGCGGGGAGGCGGCAGGCGGCGCCCAGAGAGGGAGTTGCGGAGCTCGTAGGATGATTGCTAGTTTGAATTTCGTCATGGAAGAGACAGGAAGTCACAGAGGGTTGCAGGGAGGGGGCAGGCCCGTCCGGAGGCCCTGCAGCTGTCCATGCGGGAGAGCCAAGGGCATTCAGGTCTGATGGAGGGTGTGGGAGGGAGAGAGGGGTCTGAGGGTGACCCCCTTCCTAGAGGAGTTATCGCAGACCCGTGAAATGCAGAGAAGGGGCTGTAGAAGGCCCTTCAGTCGCCTGGACAGCTGCGCAGTGGTTTTAAAAGCATTTCACAGAAGTGAGTGTTGTGTTGCGTGTAACAGGGAAGGGCCCCCATGAATCGCGTCTTGGGCACCCCGGGTGGGGCACCCAGGCTGTCTCCCCGAGCTCCTGGGTCTGCCGGGGGTTGTGCCCCTGGGCCTGGAGCAGCGTGACAAGCGGCTCTGCCCACTCCGCTTTCTCACGGGCCCCTACCAGCGTGGCCGGTGGCCTCAGCGCCCCCAAGAGTGTGTCAGGGTGGTTCTCGGCAGCTCTGCTCATCACAGGGCCTTGGCTGCTGTGTTGAGACCAGTTTTGTGCTCTTGGCCCACTGTTGACTTAGCAGTGGCACTCAGGTCTGGAGCGTAAGCGCTCCTCAGAGGGTGAAAGAACCAGTGCTGCTTCCCGTAAGCCCTGCTGTTCCTTCTGAAACAAATACACGGCCTCAAACTTGAGAATTCTTTGATTCTGCCACTTCTGAAAGCCAGCTGCTGAATGTTGTCTAAGATGTAATTTTGCCTGTGGTTTATCCCCCGTTATGTTATTAAAATTAGATCAGTATGCTGAAGAGCTGAAAACATGTTCATTAGAAGTCTTAAGTAATTATGGGCTTATTAAAAGCCTTAAACTTTCTGAAAAGCGTAATCAAAACAACAGCATCGTTCACGTGCACCCTGTCCGTGTTGTGGATGTGGGAGCCGCCGGCAGGGAGCGTATGTGACGGGGCCATCGTGGCTCAGCGGGTGTTTGGCAGTGTCTGGAGATCCTGAGGTTGTCACGCTTGAAGAGGGGGCATTTAGGTTGGGAGACCGGGACGCCGCTAAACACCCTGCGGGCAGGACGGGCCCTCACAAAGAGCTGCCTGGTTCCAGCGCCTGCAGCGCTGAGGCTGAGCCCGACCAGCTGCCAAGCGGCAAGGCTGCTGGCTGTTGGAGCAGAGTGTTGGGGGGAACGTGTGCACGTCTGCCTGGACGCCACCCCCACAGAGAGAAGACAGGTGAAGAAATGTGATGCTCGTTCGGCTTCCTGCTTGCTAAATTATATATTTTTTGTCTTTTTTTGAAGGCATTTGAAAACTTTGCTATTAGAAAGAAATCCCATCAGAATGTTACCCGTGGAGCTGGGTAAGTGTTAACAAGCAGTGAAATGAAAGGTGGGTTTAAATGCAGCCTTCTGTAGCCACCGGAACTCGCAGTGGACACACAGGCCCACCCCCGCGTGGGGGACGCAGCCGATGCCGTCTGCTCCACCCCTCTGGGTGCCGAGACGACGGGGCTCACGGGGGCTGCCACTGTCACGCTGACGTCCTGCATGTGCATACGTGTGTGAGCACTGCGGACGCGGGGCCCTGCGGTGCTCAGGGAGGGTGGCATCGGGGCTCTGTGGGCCCAGCGCCCTCCCAGTCCAGCTGCGCGCCCCCCTCGGCCAGCAGGGTCTCTGCTCACCCTTCTTTGCTTGCCTTGGGAGCTTTCCCACTCACCACCCCTGCCCAGTACGTGTTTAAAGGCCTTCCTTTCAGACTCCCGCTAAGCTTCTGCATTTGCCCCCTCCCGTGTGTGTTCTTGGTGGCCTGGCGTCTGGGGCTTAGCACAGCCCTGGAGGTTTGTCCACATGGGCGTGGATGCCGGGAGTGTGTCTGTCTCTGGTCATTTTCCCTGCGAAGGGTCCTTCCTCCTGCCTGGTTCCTGGGCTCCTGCTGCCAGGTGAGCTCTTGTCTTCATGCATTCTGCTTTTAGGCATGGACTGGTCCAGCGGACACTCTGCTTTACGTTTCTCCCATGGCCACCCTCTGCTGCTCTTCACTTCTTGAAGTTTCATCTTCCATCCGGGACAACTTTGTTGGCGGGAAGACCTTCTTTTGGGTCACACTGAGTCTTATGGTAAAGGATTATTGCTACTGGTCAGCCGTTAAGTCATGTCCGGCTCTCTGTGACCCAGTGGGCTGCAGCACGCTGGGCCCCTCTGTCCTGCACTGTCTCCTGGAGTTTGCTCAGATTCATGTCTGTTGGGTCGGCGATGCCGTCCAATCATCTCATCGTCTGCCCCCTCAGCCTCAGGCTTTCTCAAAGGCCATCTGCATCTTTGCTCCGTTGTTGAAGGCTGTTGCAGCGAGTGTGGGAGCTAGCCTGTAGGGGCTGACTACTGTGCAGATGTCTGTGTTGTGTGGATTCCATCATCTGTTCAAACGTAAACAGTTTTGATAGAGGTACCATCTTTTTTCTGGGTGCTTTAGAATGTTTCTTTTTCCGTTTGATTTTCAGTGGTTTGTCTGTGGAATGCCTGCGTGTGGTTTTCTGTGTATTTACATTGCTCGAGGTTCACTGAGCTGCTTGAATCTGCGTATTGATGCCTTTCATCAGATTTGGGGAATTTCGGGGCCGACATCATTTCTCTGGGTGTTGTGTGTCCCGCATGCTTTTTCCTCGCGTCCGGCACTCCTGATGGTTACACGTGGTTCTGACTCAGATGCCTCGAGTGCCCCCTTTCCCGGCTTCTGTCTCCCCTCTGCGTCCCACCATCATGGACTCTGTCGACCCGCCTTTGATGTCATCGGTTCTGTCTTCTGTGTCCAGATTGCTGTTAAGCTCGTCTGTTTTGCTCAATGGTTTTCACCTGGACTTGAGATTGTGTGTGCGGTGGGTCTGGGGGTGGGTATAATTACCAGTTCATGTTTTAAATGATTACAGGCCAGTTTGCATTCTCTGTTCCTATGTGAGTCCATCCTGGCAGGCTTTCCTTTTATCTGGGGTCTTGAAGGACAGTTTGGGTGGACTCAGACGCTGGATCAGCGGGTTTTCTCCAGCACTTTGAGCCTGATGCTCCCTGCCTTCTTCCACCATTGCTCTTGACAAGAACTCAGCCATCGACCTTGTGTGGTTGCTCAGTCACTCATTCATGTCCAGCTCTTTGCAACCCCATGATCTGCAGCACGCCAGGCTTCCCTGTCCTTCTCTATCTCCTGGAGCTTACTCAAACTCATGTGCATCGAGTCAGTGATGCCATCCGACCATCTCATCCTCTGTCGTCCCCTTCTCCTCCTGCCTTCAGTCGTTTTCACCATCAGGGTCTTTTCCAGTGAGTCAGTTATTTGCATCCAGTGGCCAAAGTACTGGTGCCTCAGCTTGAGCATCAGTCCTTCCAATGAATATTCAGGACTGATTTCTTCTAGGATGGACTGGTTTGATCTCTTTGCTGGACAAGGGACTCTCAAGAGTCTCCTCCACCACCACAGTTTGAAAGCATCAGTTCTTTGGTTCTCAACCTTCTTTATGGTCCAGCTCTCACAGCCACACGTGACTACTGGAAAGACCAGAGCTTGTGGCTGGTCCCTTTACATAATGACTTGTTTCCGAGGTTATTTTCTTGGTCTTTCAGGAATCGCACCGAGACGTTCCTCGTGTGGACCCCTTTGAGCGTCCTGAGAGTGTAGATTAGCGTCTGTCGTCGCCTCTGGGGCCGTTTTGGCCGTGGTCTCCCCGGGTGACCCCTCTGCTCCTTTCTGCGTCTGCTCTCCTTACACACGTGCTTGCACACCTGCCATTGTTCCACAGTCTCTGGAGGTTCTGCCCTGGTTTTAACCCTTTCTCCTCTGTGATCTTCGGATGGAGACTCTCTGCTCCTCCATCTTCAAGTTCACTTACTGTCTCTTCTCCATCTCACGCCTGCTGCTGAGTCCCTCCAGGAGATTTTCATCGCAGTCTTCATAATTTTCAACTCTAGAACTTCCACTTGCTTCTTTTGTGTAGTTTCTACTTTTTATTGACATTTGTTGAGTCATTTCACTACGTTTTCTTTAATCATTTAAACATGGATTGTTGTTGGTTTTTTTTTTTTTCATTTCTTTGAACACATTTAAATGACTGTTTTGAAGTTTCTGTGTGCTAAATCCAGCACATGGACCAACTGGAAGACAGTTTCTTCCGACTGTGTGTTTCCTGAGTATACGTCCCGTCCTCCTCCTCCTCCTTCTTTTCTGTATGACCTGTAGTTTTGCTCTTGTTGTTGAAAATAGGTCTTTGAGATAGCATATGACAGCATCTTTGTATTTTGGTTTTCACCTGAGGGCTGCGGTTGCCGCTTCTGTTTGCGTATTTAATTTTATAACCATCATGGTCTTCATCCACAGAACCCGTCTCCCCTGCAGAGTTTTTTTTTTTGGAAGCAGATCTCAGGCATCTGTCGTGACCTTTCGCCCCAGATCCTCGGCGGGCTTTCTGTCCTTCGTGTCGGGGTCCGGGCTGCCCTGACCGGCCGGTTCCCGCCGGGCGGCGGGTGCTGACGGCTCTGCTCCCCCACAGGGAGCGTGACCACCCTGAAGGCCCTGAGCCTGCGGCACTGCCCCCTGGAGTTCCCGCCGCAGCTCGTGGTGCAGAGGGGGCTGGTGGCCATCCTGACTTTCCTGCAGATCTGCGCGGCCGAGCGCGCGGTGCCCCGAGACGGCTCCCCTCGAGGTGGGTGGCGCGATTGTTAGGACGCACTGACGCCGGTAACCCCGGGGCCCCAGGGCGTCACGCGGGGTAAGGGTGCCCGGCGCGTCCCCTGCCCGACTCGCACAGACCTCCATGCTCACTCGGAGCTGTGTGTCTTCCTGGTTCCGTGTGCGTGGGTTTGCATCCTCGGTGCCCGTCACTGAGCTTGTCGAGGGTGGGTTTGGCTAAAAGCCCACTGGGGTGGTTCAAACGAAGCCGTCCTCACCTGCAAGCCCCCACGGAGGTGACCATCCCAGGAGTCACTTAAAAATGCACCAAATGACCAGTCAAGATGGTGGTTTCCATTTTCATGCATTAGTTGTTTTCATGCCACACGGGGCAACCCAGCATTTGCTTACAGCGCTTGCGTCTGGCCCGCTTGCTCGACTTTAAACTCCGTCTGCTGGCATCTCTACTCCTGCTTGGTGGTGTGACGGGTTCAGTTTGACTCTTTGATGCTGAGTCAGTTGTCTGTCCACAAGCAAATTGGACGCATGTGCTCATTTCTTGTCACTTCTTAAGACTTTTTAAAGCAGGTCTTTGCCAATTTTGAAAACTGTTTTTCTTTAAAAAACAAAAGAACACCGACCCCCAGCACCGGTCCCCAGTGGTTGGGACCAGGCCATCCTGGGCTCACACGAGCTGTGCCCGGTGCAGCCGCAGTGCACCCCGCTGGGCCGCTCTCGGGTTCCCGCAGGAGGAGACCCGGGCCAGGGTTCCGAAGGGCAGATGCCGTCCTGCTAACCTGTGAGTCCAGGTGTCCACCCGCCCACATTCCACGGTCTCCCCAGAGCACAGGAGAGCAGCCTCCACTTCAAGAAACAATGTTGTGACCACTGACACTGAACGTATTGTTCAGAATTTAACATTTTATTGTGCAGTTAAAACTCATCATCTTGCAGTCCCATTGTATTTTTTATTTGTATTTTTACAAAGAGGGCTCTATTGGTTCCAACGTAATAGATACATGATCAGCTGGGGAAAAGGGTAGAACATAGCTGAATAAATTAGGCCAAAAAGCTGAAGATGAATTAGTTTTATACCAGAAGGTAACTTGGACGGGCAAAGCTGTCTCAATGTGTTGAAGAACGCCAGGGGCCGCTGGGTCTGGGGGTGTGCCGCAGGCTGAGGCTGGGCTTGATGGGTGAGCCCCCCACTCCAAGCCCACAGCAGGCCCGGGCCCCCTGTCTGTCAGTCAGCACATGAGGTCCTGCCCCGCCAGAACGGAGGCCACGTGAGGCCAGATGACCCCCGTCTGCGGGGTGCTGTGGCCCTAACACCCGATGCGGGGTCTGGTGCACCTCGGGATGAATATGTTTGGGGCCAGTTTTCTCACTAGACTTTCCTAGGGATCAAAGTGTCTAAAGTCAGCAGAAGCGCTGCAATAAAATATCACAGGTGTGTGGGCTGAGCATCAGTTGGAAGCAGATACTAGAAGGTCTAGATGGGGAAGGTATCTTCATTTATACAGACTTGTGTGGAGTGAGGGCCTGGGGCAGAGAGATCCCCCCGCCCACCCTACACAGGGAGCCCCCAGCCTTCTATGTGGGAGAGGCCTCCAGGCTGCGTGTGTCTCGGGCTTGGAGCTGCAATCTACTAAAACGGCCTTTTGTTCGCTGTCCGTTTCCCCAGTTAAAAAGATGACCGCGAGGGATCTGCCACAGCCCCTGTTGGACTTATCCGAAGAGCACATGCCTAACAAAGAAGCCATTCGTTCTCAGGAGCCAAAGGGAAGCATGGTAACAGAGAAGGCAGACTCTTTCCCACCTGTGGAAGCACTAGGCCTGCTCGGGCCCGGGAGTTCCTCCGAGACCCCGGAGGACTGGCCGAGCGAGGAGGAGATCCGGCGGTTCTGGACGCTGCGGCAGGAGATCGTGGAGAGTGAGCGGGCGGGGGCCCTGGGGAACCAGCTCCTGCCGGTGGAGCTGCCCCCCAACCTCAGGGCCGCGCTGGGCTGCAAGGGGAAGCCGCTCCCCCGCCCGAGGCCCCGCTTCAGGTGAAGACAGGAGGCGAGGCTGGACGCGGTCCCCGCAGGTTGACACGTTTTCCTGCGAGGCCCTAACGTGACGCTGTCAGGTGGACGTGTGTCCACATCGTCATCCCGAGACGTGGCAGGTGCCAGCCCCGGGTTAGGGTTCAAGTTACCCCGACGGCGCGGGGGAAGCCAGGGAAACAGGCTGAGCAAGAGGTTACGTGAGAGAAAGACTCAGACGGCGTGTGCGTGTGCCTGGCGCATGTGTGCACGGTCTGCACACGCGTGTGGGTGTGTGTGTGCAGAGAGAGCGTGACCCAGTAACACTGGCGAACACAGCTCACACGTCGGCACGGGCAGTGACGTCACGTCCAGGGCACGGACGTGGTCCGCGGCCACTCGTCTGCAGCCCCGTGGGCTGTGTGGACACACGAGTCTGTGGTGAAAGTCTGCAGTGAGGCTGCGAGCACCGGCCCATCTGAGCTGACAAGGCCGCACTGGGCGCAGCTGGAAAACAGACGAGAGCTTAGATCCGCAAGCCAAGGGGGCACGTGTTCACTGCACTGTCGCTGCAGGTTTGAGAATTTCTCAGAGGAAAGCATCGTTGGAGGGTCACTGCCTGGCCGTGGCCCTGGGCTCACAGCGCAGGGCTCCCCGGTCATCTAGGTCCACGCCCACCTTTTCCCACAGCGGCAGTCTCACCTGGTCTCAGGTGTCTCACAGTCGCGGCCTGGCCTGGGGAGGGGGTGGAGGCCCTGCCCACCGACAGAGGGTCGAGGCTTCTGCAGGCAGCCGCCCGCGGCCCCGCGCTCATCTCGGGCTGCGTGACGCACTCGGCTGACGGCCTCGTGCTGTCGTAGGATGAAGGTGCCCTCTTTCCAAGGCGTCCTGCCCGAGCTGGACTCCGCCCGGCAGGCCCTGGTCCGCGCCAGCCAGCTGGGGGAGAGCAGGGGCCTGGCCCTCCGGGAGCTGCGGGAGAGGCAGGCTCAGGAGCAGAGCCGGAGGTGAGCTTGGGGGGGCGTGCCGGGGGTTGGGGGGTGCTGGGGTCAGGGCGGGAGAGTGTCTGGGATCGGGGCGGGGGGGCCCGGGGTCGGGGCCGGGGGAGCGCCGGGGGTCTCGGCCTCACTGGAAGCCGCCGTGGTGTCCCCGTGGCTGGGCACGGCCCCTCGCCTGCTGCTGGCCTGTGTCCCCGTCTGCTTCCTTATTCTCCCCAGTCCGTCCTCCCCTGTTCGTCACCGGCTCACAGGCCTTTTTTAAGGCAAGTTGCTTACAGTAGCCTGCTGTCCGTGGGCTCACCCTGCCCCTCCCCCGGGGTCTGGGCTGACTTGGCCGGCCGTCCTCACTGTCCGCCTTCTGCCCTCCAGCCCCGCCAACCGCCTGACTCCAGTGCGCCCTGGGCCCCCGAGACCGCCCAGCACGGACGGCCTGCCTCCAGCGTGCCCGGGTGCCCCCACCCTCTGGTTGGGTTTGGCCGGTGGGGGGTCGGGCAGGAGGTCAGTGGGGCGGGGGTGAGGGAGGGCAGAGTCTGTCCGCCCCCCACCCCCGGGGCTGCGGTGGGCACAGCTCCTCCTCCTAGCAGGGCCCTGTCTGCCCCTGCGGTCCCGCCCCTGTCTTGTAAATTGTCTGAATAAACCTCCTGAAATCAGCCCACCTGAGTGTCTTCTCTCAGGACCCTCGGGTGTAGAGGGTTCGTGTGCTGGTCCCAGCCCGGACGTGCTTTGCTAGTCGGGTGCCGTCGCCTTCAGCGAAAGGCCGGTGCTGCAAGGCACTCAGACCCGGGCAGGGAACACGGCGTCCCCGCCCGGGGCCCCGCACCCCGTGACTGATAGCGCGGCTGAGCGAGACGGTGTGGCCTGGGCTCCCCTGGGCCGCCCTCCCGTCTCCCGGGTGTCTGTCCACCTGCGTGCCGCATGGAGCCCGTTGCGCCCCCCTAAGACCCCCCGCCCCCTCTCCATCCAGGCAGGTCTGCAGGGGTGGCTGCCCACCCCCCTCCCGAGCGCCTCTGCCTCCGTCGCTCACGGCCCCACCCTGCGCGGGCACAGCTTCCCGTGGGCAGCCCCGCGGCGGGGAGGGCTCTGTGCAGGAGCAAAGGGGGCGCCTGGCCCCGGGGGCTGGGGGCCAGGACAGCCAGCCGCTCACTGGGCCTAGGGATGCGCAGGCCGGCGAGGGTCCCAGGATGGCACAGCCCCCCGGGAGGGTGCGGGGCAGTGACAGCCTCTCCGGGAGGACCCAGGCCTGAGCTGCAGGAGGAGTGAGGCGTGAGCTGCGGGGCGGGGGTCTGAGCACCCACAGGGAGCTCCTGGGAGGTGGGCGGCGGGGCTGCAGGGGGCAAAGGGCTCTGCTTGGAGCACCAAAGTCTGTGCCGCCCTCAGCCTGGAGCCCAGGACAGAGGCCTTGAAGGGCGCCGGCCAGGAGCCCAGGAGGGCCCAGCACCGTGACCCTGAGGACGGAGGGGATCTGGCCCCTCTGGGCAGGGGCCCAGGCCGCGGGGAGGGGCGGGCGAGTCTGGGAGGGCTCTGCCCCGAGAGGAACTGGAGAGCCAGGTCTGGGGGCCGGAAGGGGATGCCCCAGGGACAGGCACCCGGAAGAGTCAGGACGTGGTTCAAACAGGCGAGTGGCCGCCTGGGCTGGAGAGATGGTGTCCAGAGCCGGAGTGCGGCGGGTGAAGCCCTGGGCCTGGCCGTCCCAGCGCCGCAGCTGCGGCCCAGGGCTCTGTTCAGCCAGGGAGGTCCCGGGCGTGGTGCCCGACACACGTGGAGGCATCGAGCCCCGGGCATCATCAGGGGGTTGTGGCGCAGCGGGTGATACGCTACCAACAGCCCAGCCGTGGGCGGCAGAGACGGGGCTCAGGCTCCTGATGAGGTTCAGGCGTTGGAGAGCGAGCGGGCGGGCGGCTCGGCAGACCCCTGGGCGGCGTGCAGACCCGTGAATGCCCGAGGCCTTGGCTTTGGAGCTCACAGCCCCAGCTGGGCCTTCCTGGAAAGGGTCCTGGTGCCTCAGTGGGCAAGGGCTGGCCAGAGCTGGGCTGGTCCCTGCCGGGAGGCCCAGACAAACTCAGAGGCGCCAAGCGCTGCCCAGGAGGCCCGGGTGTCCGGCCGGCGTCTGTCCTCTGGGCGGAGAGGGGGAGCCCGGAGTGACGGGCTTTTGTGTGAAGCTCTAGAAGTGACCGTAGAAACGCTGATGAGAGCCGCCTTATCCACAGCACTCAGGTTCTGCTGCCCCCCCCCCCCCCAGAGACAAGCGAGTGCTGCAGGAGTGGAGGGAGCGTGCCCAGATGAGGAGAAGGCCGGAGGAACCCGGGAGCCTGCCGGCGCCACCCCCGCGGAGGAACCCGGTACGTGTGGGGGTGGGGAGGGGGTGCCCGCGGAGGGGAAAGAGGCACCCCCGCGGAGGGGAGGGGGCCCCCGCAGAGGAGCCCCGGAGCCCGGTAGGCGGTGCTGGGTGAGCGGGCTGCGTCCAGGTACCCGCGCGAAGGCGGCCTGCCTTGCAAAGCCCGTCAGCTCGCCGTCCTGTTCCTCTGCCATCGGTGACCTCCCGCAGAAAACAGAGACCACCAGCTCGTCCACCCTGTGCCGGCCTCCGCCCGCCGCCCCCCTGCAGCCCCGCTGCCCGGCCTCCCTGGAGCTCCCTGTGGGTGCTCAGACCCCTTCCCGCAGATCACCCCTCACTCCTCCTGCAGCTCAGGAGGGTCCTCCCAGAGCAGGCGTCACTGCCCTCACAGTGACAGGCTCGCGATGGCGGGCTCAGGGCCCCCAGGCTGGACTCTGGTCCGCAGTCCAGGCCACGGACCACGAGCCCGGCAGCAGACCTCCTCCCCTCCCCCGGGGCCCTGGAGACCCATTTCCCCTCCACCTGCACCCCGCCCCTGCAGCCTCTTCATGCAGATGAGGGCGACTCCTCCCCCCGGAGCACAGAGCGGATCATCAAGGTGACCCCTAGAGACCAGGGCCCCACTGCGGGGCTGGGTTTAGGCCTCGCTGTGGCCGTCGGATGGGGAGCCTCCATGAGCCACGTGTGCCTGAGTGCCCGTGACAGGCCACGTGCCGTCTGGACCGTGGTTGAGCGGGCGGTTCAGGGGCACTTAGCACCGTCCCGGCGCTCTGCAAGCACCACCTCGCCCACCTGCAGGGCCTCCCTGGCTTCCCAGACTGCGGCTCTGCCCCATGCAGTGCTGGCTCCCCAGACCCTGCCCCCCCACCCTGTCTGTGTCTGACTCCTGGGACCCCCGTGAGTGAGGGCACCCTGTGTGTGCGCCGCGGCGGTCATTTCACTGGCCAGTGTGTCCTCAAGGCTCGTCGGCATCATGGCCTGTGTTGAAATCCCTTCCTCTTGGGGGCCGCGTGACGTTCCGTGTGTGGACAGGCATTTTACTGCTCTGTCCATCCAAGCATGGGCACTGAGTCGCTGCCCCACACGGGGCAGCCGTGGCCCAGGGCGCGGTATTTGCGCGCTTAGGCGTGTGTTGCTGTGGCTCACTGCCTTTTTGCGTGCTTCCCTCCAGCTGGAAATGACTTCCGTGATGTCGTGCAAGAAGAAGCTTGTCCCATTCTGTATATTTTGTATATTACGGAGAAATACGGCATCTCGTCACTCCGTTACTAGGGTTCATAGCATAGGAATTGAAGAGTGTCTGTAAACCAGGAGTACCACTTTGCCTCCTAAGTTAAATGCAACAACTCTGAAACTAAAAATAGGAAGCTAAAAGCGGAAGTATTTTTCATGGCCTAAAACACTATAATCAAAGTCAAACATGGGGAGATTATTTGTGACTTATATTTGTAACAAAAGATTAATATCTAATATCTAAGGAAAAACCAGAAAACAGATTTTTTTAAAGAGTGCAGTAGACAAACAGGCCAAGGGTAGGACAGGCAGGTCGCAGACGACGCCCGGGTGGCAGAACATCCAGAGGAGGCGCCCGTGTCTCGGGGCTCCAGCTGTGAACGGCGGCCAGCGTGCTCGGAGCAGCCTGGAGAGAAGGGGCCACAGAGGGCCGGCTGCAAGCCATCCGCTTCCCGGAGCCTGTCCAGGAGAGCTAAAGACACCGAATTGTTGGGAGACTTCTGGGGGCCTGTCTCGGAGAAGGAAAAGCAGCCGTAGGTGGAAAGCGCGTTAGTGGCCCTCAGCGTCATCTGCAGGGGCGAACGTAGGCAGAGCTGGGGGCTCCATCCACCACATCCCTCGTTCTGGCAAGCTTGGCGGAGGGGCCGGGCCGGGGACACGAGGGGACACGGGGGTGCCGGGCCTCCCAGGGCCTGGCCTCCTAGGGCTGGGGTCGCCGGCGTCCTGTCCACCGCCCGCACTGGTCAGGAAGCTTCCTCTGGCCCAGGCAGGAGCCCGAGCCTCGTGACTCATCACCCACTCTTTAGAAAGCATGATGCTCTGAACCCAGCGGCTTTGCCAGTGACCTTGGAGTCCACGCGCTGTGCTCTGGCAACACGGTGCTGGGGTGCGGCCGGAATCACACCCTGCGTGTCTTAAAGGTAAAAGCAGGCGTCTGCGTCTAAGAAACCCCACTGGACCCAGCGCTTGCCCGGGGGCCACGGCAGGCGGGCCTGACCCGTGGTCCCGTGTGTGCCGCACCCCACCTCCCAGGCAGGAGGTTCCGATTCCGCTGGTCTGCGCAGCAGCTGTCCCAGCGGGCGTGGGAGTTGGGGGTGGGGGGAGGAGAAGCTGGCCGGCTCCTGCTCCCCCCGCCCCCCAGCCTCCCCCGGCCTGAGGCTCCTTCTGAGGTCAGGCCGGTGCTGCTGGGCTGGAGCTGGTGACGCAGGTGGCCGGCCTGGTGACCCACTTAGAGGTGACCTGGTAGATTAGCCCTGCATGACCCCCCCCCCCCCGCCCCGCGCCGCCTCGACGCCCCCCGCAGCCTTCTCCCATCTGAGACTCATCCAATCCCTGCAACAGCTGTGTGCCCCGACACACACATAGACGCACTTGCACACTTCACAGACAGACGCACTCACACACTTCAGACACAGACGCACTCGCACACTTCAGACACAGATGCACTTGCACACTTGACACACACAGACGCACTAGCACACTTCACACACACAGACGCACTCGCATACTTCAGATGCACAAGTCTAAGCTCCCTGGGTTGGGGGTTGGTTTGGTTCTCAGGGGTCCGGGGGGCGGGGGCAGCTGCTGCCACTCGCATCCCCGTTACAGGGCTGCAGGGCCCCCAGCTTGTAGCCCTGACGGCAGAAATCTTCCAGGTCCCCGCCAGGAGGAAACCGCCGCAGGATGGCTGTGGGGGGAGGCGCGGGGGCACCCCAGCAGAGCAGTTTCTCTTGTCGCAGAGTCTGGGCTCTGGGTGTCAGGCTTCAGGAGCCGTGGCTCTCCGGCGTTCCAGCATGTATGTGGGCCTCAGCAGCTGTGGCACATGGGCTTAGCTGCCCCGGGGCATGTGGACTCCCCCCAGACCAGGGATCAAACCCGTGTTCCCTGCATTGGCTGGTGGACGCCTGTCCGCTGTCCCGCCAGGGAAGGCCTAAGCAGTCTGCGGATCCTTACAGAACCACGCAGCCTTTATCCTGCCTCCCTGGCCCCCACTCAGGGCCCCTCCGCCCAGAAGAACCTGTCGCAGCTGCTTCCAGGGAGGATGGAGAAGGCATCCTGCTAGAGATGCTGGACGGTCACCATCGGAGCTTGTGGGGTCCCTGAGGGCAGTTGAGGCTCACCAGCCATGGTTCGGGAGGCAGGGGGCTAGTTAGGGGACACCCCTGAGCCCCGCTGTGCCTGCACACTTGTGGGGGCTGTGAGCTCAAGCGGAGCCACAGACAGAGGTCTGTATCTGTTGGAAAAGCTGGCTCTGCTGATTCTGGCCCGTTTTGAAAGCCTGTTTTGTGCCGGTTCGTCGTGTCATTGATCCAAGCCTATGAATCTGTAATTCAGGCTTTCTGACTACAAGGCTCTACTTCCCCACTTCATTAGTCGGGCATGAGCCCACATGTCAGGCTGACCTATGGATCAAACAGAGTCAGCTGTGTCGTGCCCACGCCTGGCTGGGCCGCCGAGCAGCCGTCTACTCGCCTGTGTCCTGCACTGTGGCCTCGCCCCGCCTCCACCCCGCACCGGCCGAGGGTTGGGACCCCAGCGTGAGGGGCGCGAGCGTGCTGTGCCCAGCGGCAGCCTTGGGGTCAGCGGCTGTTTTCCTGAAAGGATCTTGCTGCGTCTTCCAGGGGGCAGCAAAGATGGCCCTTGCTACGGACCTGAGAGAGAAAGGGAAAATACCGAAGAATTTGCCTGGAAAAGTGAAACAAAGCAAAGAAGAACCGCTGCAAGCATGTCAGGAAATGAGGTTGGTAACCTCGTTGTTAACCGGGCATGATTCTGTCCCCTAGACACGCCCCTCCGCCCACCCTGACCCCGGCGGTCCCTGGGCCCCTCCGGCCTGGCCAGGGGCGCTCACCTCGCCCAGCCCAGCCCTGCCCCTCCACAGCTCTGGTCCGAGGGCACTGCGGGAAGGTGGCGGTGCTGTGACCTGTGGGTGGCAGAGGGCTCGTTCGTCCCTCATCCTGGAAATTGGGAAAGTGTCACGAGCCCGTCGGTGGGGTTAAGGCAGCTTCGTGGGGGTCTCACCTGCAGCTGAGGAGTTGGTGGGGGGTGCTCGCACACCTGGGATCCCACGTTGCCCCCGTGGCCCCTTAGCAAGCCCATAGCCGGCCACGTCTGTGCACAGACACCCCACCCGAGGGTAGCACTTCCCAGGAGCTGGGGTCTGAGATGAGGGCAGTCAGGCCCCTCACCAGGGGGTCTGTCCTGAGGACTCAGGCAGCCACTGTGCTGGTGTGTGGGGGGGTCTCAGGGGCCCGGCCAGGGGTGTGCCCCAGGGCCTGCCACCCTCCCCATCGCGCTCCCAACGTCCTGAGGGGGAAACGGCCCCAGGCCTTGCTGAGCAGACCCTCCAACGTCACCCCCGAGGCTGTGCTCTGTTGCTCGCTGAGGAATTATTAAAACCGTGTGTTCCCGCTGGAAACAGACGCCGCCTCCTTCACGAGGCGCTGCGTGCATGCCCACGGTGTGTAACGTCTCACATGCACCTGAGCGTTTAAAGCAGAGCGGGTCCAGCGGGGGGGGCACGGAGGCGACCCGTCCCCTGTGGGCGGGCAGCTGAGGCGGGGGAGCTGTCCCTCCCGGCTGGGGGACAGGAGGCGCTCCGGGGTGGGCGGGGAGCAGCTCTGTCTCCCCGCTCCCAGTCCCCGCAGTGGCCTCCGAGGGCAGGTTCTGGCGGAGGCGCTGAAGCCGCAGGCCCAGCGGCTGCACGCGCGGAGGGGCAGGTTCCGGGGGCTGGCGCCCCTCGCGGGCGTCGGGAGGGCCGCCCGAGACGTGGAGATGGTGAGTGTCCATTGAAACCTGGAGGGAACCACACGGGCTCTGACCTTGGGGTTTCCCTGGGTCACAGGGTCGGAGGGCAGGCAGGAAGCAGAAGCAGCAGATCCTGAATGGACGAGCCGGGAGGTCTCCCTGGTGCTGCCCTGGGGAGGGGTCTCAGGGGGCTAAGGGAGCGTGGGAGGTGGAACGGAAGGGAGGCCCCTGCACGACGCATGCCGCCCTCTGACAGGAGGGGCTGCTCCAGCACTGGCCCCCGGCCCCCTCCCTCTCCATCTCAGCGTTTCCTGGTCCAGACTCTGTGAGGTGGGGAATGGGGAGGAAGGGAGACCCCCCCAGCAGAGGGGGCTGAGGCTTGCGGAGCGTGGGGGGCCCTCCCCTTCGGGGGCGGCTCCAGGCCCAGGGCACAGGCTCTGCCCCCACCATGCCTCTGCATCCGGGCTGACCTCACCCCTCTCTGTCCCCGAGGCCCGGAGGCTGCATGATGAAGTCCTGAAGCTGAAACTGAGGTCGGCCTTGAACAGAAACCACCAGTGCGCTGCTCTGCCCGGGAGCCTGTCGCTCGGGCCGGCTGCGTCCCAGCCTCAGAATATATTTTTTAACCCAAAGTATTAAGAATCTGAAGACGTTTACAGACACTACTCACCTGGAAGACGGCCGTGGCTCGCGCCCTCCCAGGGTGCCCCCTGCCGCAGAGCCTGAGGGCCTGCGTCTCCATCCCTCCATCCTTACTGCATTAAAGGAGAACGTGGTGACAGGCACTCGGCTGTGGCTCCCTCCCCCAGGGCCCCCTCCCACCTCCCCTGGGGGTCCCCACCCGCTTTCAGCCCCTCCACTTCCCCTCGGCCCCGCCCACCTCCCTTCAGCCCCTCCGCGCTGCTCACAGCAGGCCTGGAGGTTGCATGACTGACTGGCTGCAGCAGGCTGGGGTCCCTGAGCGGTGCCCTCCTCCTGCCTGGCTAGGTTGCCCTCCCCCCAGGGGCGGCCCCTGCCCCCCGCCCCCCCAGATCTGTCCCAGACCCGCGGGGGGCTGTCACTCAAAGTCACTCAACTTAGCCTCTTGGCTGGACATGCGACGACGTGCGATGAGGGCTTGACTGGAAAACGCCCTCGATCCTCACTGGCGGTTGGCTGGACATGCGACGACCTGCGATGAGGGCTTGACTGGAAAACGCCCTCGATCCTCACTGGCGGTTGGCTGGACATGCGACGACCTGCGATGAGGGCTTGACTGGAAAATGCCCTCAATCCTCACTGGCGGGCACAGGGTAACTCAGGGTCTGATTTCTTCTTGTGTCAATCTTGGTGGGTATGTTTCTCGGGGACTTTTTCATTGCGTCCGAGCTGTCTGCTTTATCAGCATAAAATTCCTTGTAATCTTCTCATCCAGCGCTTTCTCGGTCGCTGAGGACCTGTGGCGTGTCCCCTCTCACTGTTGGTGTGCCTCCGCCTCCCTAATCTTGCTCGGATTCATCGCTTCCATTAGCCCTTTTGGACAGTCACTGTGGGCTTTGTCGAGGCGCTGTTGTGTTTTCTGCGCCACTGGTTCCTGTTCTCCTTTCCTCTGCTTCTTTGGGTTTGGTTAGTGCTGGGAGGGAACTTGCCCACTTTCCGTGAATGTGTCAGAAAGGAAGAAACATGTAAAGTCCATACCCTGGGCTCCCAGCTCAGAAGCTAAGATGTGTCAGTTACTTGCTGCTATGTAACAAGTTACTGCAAAGCAAAGCAGCTGGAAAAGTAGGTAAATAATAACAAATAATTATAGTGTGTGTTATTATATAGTATGTAACATCTGAGAAAACTCTTGAGGTCCCTTGGACTGCAGGGAGATCAAACCAGTCAATCCTAAAGGAAATCAAACCTGAATGAAATTCATTGGAAGGACTGATGCTGAAGATCCAATACTTTGGTCACCTGATGTAAAGAGCCAACTCATTGGAAAAGACCCTGATGCTGGGGAAGATTGAAGGTGGGAGGAGAAGGGGACGACAGAGGATGAGATGGTTGGATGGCATCACCAACTCAATGGACCTGAGTTTGAGCAAACTCTAGGAAACAGTGAAGGACAGGGAAGCCTGGTATACTGCAGGGTCCCAAAGAGTCAAACATGACTTAGTGAATGAACAACAACAAATGTAACACATTATTATATTAATGTTATGAATGATAGTAAATATCTATTATCTCTCCCAGGTTCTGAGGGTCAGGGTTGGCAGCAGCTGGGCTGGTGTTTCTGGTTCACTCAGGCCGGGGTAGGGCCCGTGGGGTCTGAAGGCTGGGCTGGAGGGTCTAGCTTGCTGTGACCCCAGTCCTGTGACGTGACTGTGACTACAGCTGCCACATGACTTCTGCTGGGAAATGTTCCATGTGACTCGACAAGAATCTGCTTGGCAGCTGTTGGATGTGGTGTGTATGTGTGACAAGTCGTCCCCTGCATCTTCAGGGTCTGTTGTCTTGTCCTGTCTGCTGGGCCCCACTTGCAGTCACGGCGGTGGACTTGTCTGTATCTCGCTTTAGCTGTGTCAGCTGCTGCTGTGTGTAGTCTGGAACTATGCTGTTAGATGCCTGCACATTTAGGGCTGTTGTGTCTTCCTGTTGAATTAAACTTTTCATCAGTATGAAACATGTCTCAGTTTCTGGTTTCACGCTTCCTGCCTTCAGGCCCCTGTGCCTGTCACTAATATAGGTACCACCACAGCGCTAGTGTCTGTATCCTTCCACTCTGGGCTTCCTGTGTTTTTATATGTAGAGAACGTCTCAGGTGAGCATCATATGTTGGGTCTTTCTTCCCTTCTCCAGCCTTACAGTCTCTGTCCTCTAATTAGACTGTTTGACCCCTTACGATCAAATGCGTGATTTTAAGTCTCCCATGTTGATACTCATTGGAAGAACTGATGCTGAAGCTGAAGCTCTAATGTTTTGGCCACCTGATGTGAAGAACTGACTCATTTAAAAAGACCCTGATGCTGGGAAAGACTGAAGGCAGGAGGAGAAGGGGACGACAGAGGATGAGATGGCTGGATGGCATCACCGACTCAATGGACATGAGCTTGAGTAGACTCCGGAGCTGGTGATGGACAGGGAGGCCTGGCGTGCTGCGGTTCATGGGGTCGCAGAGATTCAGACACAAATGAGTGACTGAACAGCAACATGTTCCTATTTGTTTATGAGTCTCGTGCTTTTGTTCCTTTATTCTTCCTTTGCTGTTCTCTGATGTTAATTTTTTTTTAATTTAAAATTATTTTGGGGCTTCCCTAGCAACTCAGTGGTAAAGAATCTGCCTGCCAATGCAGGAGAGACAGGTGCGATCCCTGGTCCGGGAAGATTCTATCTGCGTCAGAGCAACTAAGCCCATGAGCCATGACTATGGGGCCTGTGCTCTCGAGTCCAGGCCCCTAAATTGCTGAGCCCGCGTGCCCCAGGCTGGATCCGTGATGAGGAGCCACGGCAACGCGAAGCCCTCATTCACCACAGCTACAGAGAACATACACAGCAACGAAAAGCCAGCACAGCCCCAAATAACTGAGTAAGTAAATAAAAATTATAAAAAGTGCAGGTCATTAAAAAAAAAGAAACCAAGACTTCATGATCTAGAAAACAGAGCATCAATAAAGCAAGTTTTTAAACCAATTTTTAAAAAAAAATTTTTTTTTTGATGTGGACCATTTTCTTAGACTTTATTGAATATTTGGTTACATTGTTCCTTCTGATTTATGTTCTGGTTTTTTTTTTTGGACCGGGAAGCACATGAGGTCTCATCTCCCTGACCAGGGATCGAACCCAACCTCCTCCATTGGGAGACAAATTCTCAACCACTGGACTAGGGAGGTCCCCAAAACCATTTTTTTTTTTAATTTTAAAAATTTTATCTGGGGAAGCAGGGAGGGAAGGGAAACTGGGTTCAGGGGACACACGGAAGAAAAGACACGTCTAATTTTCCAAAATGAAGAGAGAAGGTCAGGGATTGTTAACAGGATGCAGAGCGCACGGAACTTCAGATGAGCAGCAAAAAGGGCAGAGAGAATCGCCAACCAGCAGAACAGACAGACACAAAGGCGGAAGGGATACAATCAAGGGTATCGGCCATCACGTTGAACTGTTTTTGGGGGTGTCGGCATCACAGTTTATTTTTTAAATTACCTTTATTGGAGTGTAGTTGTTTTACAATGTTGGGTTGATCTCTGATGTACGGCAAAGTGAATCAGCTGAATGTGCTCACACATCCACCCTTTTCTGGATTTCCTTCCCAGTTGGGACACCCAGTTAGGACACTGGATAGAGTTCCCTGTGCTGTACTGTGGGTCCTCACTGTTGTTGTTCACTTGCTAAGTCATGTTCGGCTCTGCAACCCCATGAACTGCACCACGCCAGGCTTCCCTGTCCTTCACTGTCTCCTGGAATTGCTCAAACTCATGCCCACTGAGTTGGTGATGCCATCCAACCGTCTGTCTTCCCCTTCTCCTCCTGCCTTCAATCTTTCCCAGCATCAGGGTCTTTTCCAATGAGTCAACTCTTTGCATGAGGTGGCCAAAGTACTGGAGTTTCAGCTTCAGCATCAGTCCTTCCAGTGAACACCCAGGACTGATCTCCTTTAGGATGGACTGGTTGGATCTCCTTGCAGTTCAAGGGACTCTCAAGAGTCTTCTCCAACACCACAGTTCAAAAGCATCAATTCTTTGGCGCTCAGCTTTCTTCACAGTCCAACTCTCACATCCACACATGACTACTGGAAAAACCATAGCTTTGACTAGACGGACCTTTGTCAGCAAAGTAATGTTTCTGCTTTTTAATATGCTGTCTAGGTTGGTCAAGCTTTTCTTCCAAGGAACAAGCGTTTTTTAATTTCATGGCTGCAATCACCATCCGCAGTGATTTTGGAACCCAAAAAAAATAGTCTCTCACTGTTTCCATTGTTTCCCCATCTATTTGCCATAAAGTGATGGAACTGGATGCCATGATCTTAGTTTTTTGAATGTTGAGCTTTAAGCCAATTTTTTCACTCTCCTCTTTCACTTTCATCAAGAGGCTCTTCAGTTCCTCTTTGCTTTCTGCCATAAGGGTGGTGTCATCTGCATATGTGAGGTTTTGATATTTCTCCCAGCAATCTTGATTCCAGCTTGTGCTCCTTCCAGCCCAGCGTTTCTCATGATGTACTCTGCATAGAAGTTAAATAAGCAGAGTGACAATATGCAAACTTGACATACTCCTTTTCCTACTTGGAACCAGTCTGTTGTTCTATATCTGGTTCTAACCAAAGTATTGGAGCTTCAGCATCATATGTATTTCACACTGAGTACCGTATGTATGTCAATCCCAATTTCCCAGTTCATCCTGCCACACCCCCCTTCCCTGGGTGTCGGCATGTTTGTTCTCTATGTCTGTGTCTATTTCTGCTTTGCAAATAAGTTCATCTGTATCATTTTTCTAATTCCACAGTTAAACAATACTATATGATTATGTTGAACTTGCTAATGCTGAGTTGTTCTATTATTTAAAAAAACAACCCACCATCTGACAGTCTTTGACTTTTATGCTGTTTCTAAGTCATTCTTACAGCAGTGATTTTTTTACGAAGCTTGAGATGTGGGGAGTTTGACTTCCAGATGGCACTAAAG